AGTTTAATTATAGTTTTAGTCGCTAACTCTAATACATTTTAAAACACAAACTCAGAATTCGCTATTACGTAGCCACAATCTTACAATATAGGCTGATATGGATAACCAGTTTCGTATATATACAATCTGGAAACAACCATTTGGAATTTCGCTTAGAAATTATTGTCTAACCATACTTTAAATATATACATAACCTTAGGTATAAACCATCATTTAATTCAATAAATACTTTTAAACAAACTTCAAAGTTACAAGAAACAAAAGAAATAAAGCCTCAACTCATGGTTTGAACAAGTCGCTTAACGCTTGTCCTAGCTCAACGAAATAAATTCTTTAGCGTAGTGAGAAATCACTCACTCTACGAATACAAAAAATAAAGAGTTCTCGTCGTCCAGTGAGGAACTTCGTGCATTCCACTATTACAACAAGCTTCTCCCCCAAGACTCACTCAACACATGGCTCGCTCTAATAAATGCAAAACAGGGGGTTTGCTAGCCCAGCGAGCCTATGGCGAACTCAACGTGGTCTGACAAAAGTCTATAGAATGACAATTTTGCGGAATTTGAACCTACCAACTTTAACTTCCTTACCTCAAATATACCTCCCAATATACATAGATCAAATCTCGCTATTCTAAACCTTAAGTGCAATCCACCAACCTGACTATGACCAAACTTAACTCCCACTTTGATCACTTTGCCAAAAAGTCATACTTACCAACACCAATTCACCACTTAAAAGTTCAGCAATCACTTTTACCCATTTATAATTACATTTTGACAAGCCAAGTATCCAAGTAAATCCTAAATGGCCTAAAAATTGACCTTAAACTTCATGTTTCCCGTTCAACCATTATCTCAAAATCTCATATATCAAAATCTTATATTTACAAAACACAAGCTACAATTAAAACTCAGTTATTACTTCTTTATTCAATATCAATTTTTTTGTTATCTAAAGACCTATACAAGTTTCAATTGACCATAATACAGTTCCCGAATCTTAGTTTTCACTATACAGTCATTTCCTTTAAAAATTTACATACCAAAACTTTAGTTTAGACCAAAAATAGCCAACAACATTATCTATTTACTATAATCAACTATATAAAATATTTGTACCCCTTAGGACTCTAAAACATTAGCATTCAAAATTCAAGGCAACACTAATTCACATTAATAATTTAGCAATACTTCAATTTCACACATCAAACCATGACTATTACCAAATAATCATTTATTAAATCAAATATCATTCTGAACACATGATCAAACATAAATTCATAGTTCCTAACATAAAATAAAACAAATATTAGCTTCCTTTACTTGGTTAGAAAACTCAAACAACTCTATAAAGCAAACTACCATTACCTAAGCTCAAATAACTCTATATTTACTTATAGACCATAAAATCATGATTATGGTAGGTCCTTAGAATCACTGATCCACAAAGAACTAGAAAGAAAAGCTTAAAGATACATGCGTCAACCTTATAACATGTGAATTAACCATAAATTTAAAAGTAAAATGAGTAAAAACTAGTTAGTTTATAAAGAAAATTGATTAGATATGCTGTAGGACCTGATCAATCCTGTGACTAGCCACTTCTTAATTGTAAATTAGTTTTTCCTATTGAAGGTAATCATAATTTTTTATGACTATCTAGGAGAGAAGGAGAAAAATTAGCATCCCAATTAAATAAGTATTAAAAGAATTATATAATAATAAGAATGAGAAAAAAATGTTAAATTAAATTTAAAGTTTATAATTCTTTTTTAGACTTGTACACCAATTTAAATATTGATAATTATTTTTCATCTCTCCTTTATACACAAACCCCATCAATATTGATTGATGGGTAATGAAAAAAGAATGTTAGTCTAAAATGATCGTGACTCACGGTCACAAAACACTTATCAAAGTATAATCAAAACTGCAAAAAAATACGAAAAACTTATTCCTTTTCAATCAGAAAATCTTATTTGCAAAAAATGAATAAATAAATAAATAAATAAATAAATAATTAGTTTCACCAAAGCAAAATCTAATATCAGAACCGCACGTGCACTTCCTATGTGACACCTTTCACAGTTTAACTGCCACTTTTATTATTCTATTTTTCCAATTTCAGAAATTCAATCACATAATTTTCCTGTACCAATTCCAGACTTTTCATAATAATAATAATTCATTGATCCTATTCTATTTTTTAATTTAAATTTCTATTTTGTTTTTTTTGTTTTCCCCTTCGGGGATAAATGTCTCGGTTTTCTCAACTGGTATCTTCTAATGTTTCAATAGGGTTTCGAATTTTTTCTGTGTTCCCCTCCGAGATTCTCTCTGCTTTGGTTTTCTCAGTTTTTTTTCCTAATTCGCGGCTCTCCCAGGTTGAATTTGGTAGGTTTTTCCAATTTAGGGTTAGGGTTTTGTGCGTGGTAGTCAATGGTTTGTTGCGTGCAAATTTAATTGGGAGTGTTTTTATTTTGGTACCCGCTTCAGTTTCGTTGGTTCTGTTGCAGAGAGAAATGGGCACTTTCCCCTTTTGATCTTCTCGTCGAATCAAGCATCAAAATCTGAGCTTCTTTTGTTCTCCCGCTGGTTTTTTGATTTGGGGTGGATTTTTTTGTTATTTCTATATTGGGCATCCTAGTACATTGAATTGGTTCGGCATTCACTCGAATTTGCAACGTGAGAGCTGGAGAAGCTGCGATGAAGTGGGTATTCTCCAAGTAGCATTCAATTCGAGGTCGAATATTCAGTCCGTGCATGGATTCTGGAAGGGATGCGGGTGGTGTGGCAGGAACAGTTCTAATTCCCATGCGTTTTGTTTGGCCATATGGAGGAAGGAGTGTGTTTCTCTGCGGTTCTTTCACACGGTGCAAATTTTGTTGATTGTTGCATGAGCATTTTAGTTTTTTGCTTATAATGTTTTGGTTTAGTTTTCTTGTCTCTCCTTTCATTTTAATTTTTATCTGAAAGGTGGTCTGAGCTTCTACCGATGTCGCCAGGGAAGGATTGTCCAAACCGTGTTTCAAGTTATTTATAATTTGCCACCCGGTTACCATCAGGTCAGTTTATGGTTGTGTTACCAGCTTAATGGTGCGTGTGTTGCGTTTGATGTTTTGTGGATTTTATAATTTGTATATTTCGTATTGTCAATATTGTTGTCAGAGTTTGAGGTGTGATGTGTGGCTCAAATATGGGATTTCAAGTAGATGATTATGATAAGCACTGATGGATTTAAAAAGATTTATTTTAGGAAAAAGTTTGACCATCATATGTTGAGGCTGTTGGATTAACTTAGTATGAAACTTACCTTGAATGCAGTACAAGTTTTTGTTGATGGAGAATGGCGACATGATGAACATCAACCTTACGTACCAGGAGAATATGGGATGATCAACATGTCTTCTTGGCTACTGATCCCAACTACATACCTGTTTTGAATTCAGATGTTGCACCTGGAAATAGCATGGATGTGGATAATGAGCTTTTCGCCGAGTGGTGAGCGTTAGTCATACCCTGACATTTATGTTTGTCTTTATTTACTGGAATGCTTTATGTATTGTGGTTATGTTGTACTTGGAAATGAAATTTCAAAACACAGGATCAATCAATACTCAATTCTATGAACTGACTAGATTCTATATAATGTTTTGTAACTCATTTTGATGTTAAGGTCTTTAATCCAGCAATATTAATCTATGTAGGCCTATTGAGTCTTCTCTCCGGAATGGATTAGATAGAATCGTCCTTTATTCCTTATTTGTTATAACTCATAAACCTGGTAACATACAATATCTTGTTGCCCATGTTCTTCTGTTGCCTCTTATAATACGATTTCTGCTCATCTTTGAAATTTATATGTGAAAGAGGAGGAAATAGAGACAACATTAATTATACATAAATAGAAGAATTTATGTTTTCTCTTAATCAAAGACTATATGCCTATAAACTGCTATAGTTACAGTAAATAAATAAATACAGAATATTGTATTCTGACTTTCACCAGTATCTTATTTTTTTGCACTGGACAGTTAATTGTTCAGAATTCAGACTATAAGTATATTATGCTGTCCACTTAAAAAACAGGTCCGGTTGACTGATGGTAGTGAGGTGCTGCCAAGAATATCCGAAGCTGATGTACAAATCTCCCGTCAGCGTATTTCTGCATTTCTTTCTTCCCACACTGCTTATGAATTACTTCCCGAGTCAGGCAAGGTTTGGAAGTTTTTACCTTGACCCTTTATTTTGGACATTTTGAATTGGCAACATGCATCAAATTTGCAAACCTGAAACTTGAATTATGAAGTTACCAATTTAGTGACTTGTGGCCACAGGTTGTTGCTTTGGACGTTGATCTACCAGTGAAACAGGCATTTCATATACTGCATGAGCAGGTAACTATTTATCTTTTTCAGATGAATTGAAAG